TAATTACTACTTCTAATGGATATGAGTAGGGAAAGGTAAGGGAAATAAGGGGGGGGGGATTTGTTGACCTCCAATCTTCTTCATCTTGGTTTACTTATGACTCTTATTTTTTCCTTTCTCCAATTTCACAGCTCACCCTCTTCTTCTTATTTCTAAATGGGAATCCTAATTCATAATATCCTTTATTGTTTATATCAACAGTTTTATTTTTTTTTACTTTTTCGTGTAATGATTAAAGAGTGTCCAATCTGTTGCTTTTTTGGCACTACCCTTGTTGTGTGTAAAGAATTGGATTAATTTGTCCATGTTCATTATTTCTATCATTTTCACTAACCAGTGATCCATTGACAGTACTTCTTTTGTTCTCCAATTTCGGGCATATATAATTCTAGCCGCCGTTACAGAATAGTTAAAGAGTATATCTTTATTTCTTTCCAAATGTATATTTAATATACCCATTAAGAAGTATTCCAGTATCTTGATTTGAAGAATTCTCTGTATTTTTTCATGTATTTTCTTTCAGATTTTTTTTTTGCTGTTTTACAAGTCTACCACATATGGTAAAAATGTGCCCGTATCTTTCAGATTCTTATAACATTTTGCTAATTTCTGTGAATGTACCACTGGTACAACATTTTGTACCAATTTTCCTTCAAGTCATAGGCATATGTGTATTTTATTTTTTGAATCCATATCTTTTCCCATTCTTCCAATATTGGATGCCCATTTTACTATGTAATCTCTCACTAGTTCAGTTTCTGTTGACTATCCCAATAATTTCTTATAGATTTTTGTGATGGCTTTCTTTTGCATTAACATTATTTTATTCTTTCTCTGAAAATCCTATTTTCTTATCTTTATTATAGTATTCTCTGAGATGTCTGTGCAGAAACCATGAAATATTCTTGTGTACTTAGTTAATTTCTCCTTGAGGTTTTAGTTGATAAACACCACTTTGTTTCTTCAATATTTCTTTATATATAGGCCACTTCTCCCAAACCTAATTGTCTTCTATGTCCTGCCTCTAACTAGGATATCCATAATTTTAATGCAGATCTTATAAAATGATTTCCAAAATCTTATTCTCTTGAAGATTTTTTTAAAGACTGAAAATTTAAATTTCATTTAGTGTTGCTAGTAAGGAAAACTTAAGAGGTTGGCACTGTTAGTTATATAGGCCTGTGTAAGTTTCCCGATGTGTCCTTTTTTCAGCACTGTGGAGATTAGTATGCCTTCTTTTACTGTGCCCCAAGTCCCCCTGGACTTACCATGTAACCTATGAAGTCCCGCTGCATAGCCATTCCATTTCTTTTGGGTAGTGGATGAGATCAGATAAGCATCTGACTATGTTCCTGTAGTGGACCCAATATGATTGCAACACCACTGAAAGGATGCCAATATTGATGTAATCATTTTGAATCTGGCTTTGTGGAGATAGCCAGATGTTTCTCCAATCCTGCCTGCTCCCTACAAGGCATGCAATGGCTGGATTGAAGTTGGTGTGTGTGCTTCAGATGCTGAGGAGGTCGGAGTGAAATATGGCTCAATCTAGCTCAGTTTAGCTCAGGTCTTCATTTGGAACTGCTACACTACATTGAATTATAAGGGATTGGAGTTAGTGTTGGCACAGGAAGGATTGCTACTTAAAACATTCCCGCGTAGTGCATTGATAGCTACTGATTTTTCTATATTCTTTTCTACATTCTTCACCAACATGAAAAGGAGAAACCTACAACCTCAAAATGACTGATCATCCCCACATGATCGTAATTTCATTTGCATCTGGTGTCAAGGTAATTTGATTATTACTGAGACATATTTTGCATATCAAATCCTGCATGTTAAAAATGAACTGAAGACATTCAAAGCATATCTGTAATTTTGCTATATGTCTAAGATGAAGACTGTAGTCATATCTCTATGCTACAAAGTACAAGTAAAATGAGCTGGTTTTCCCACATCCAACCCTACAGCCCATTTGTTAAGATATAATTCACTGCAATTTAGTTCCTGTACTAAAAGGAAACAGGCCTCTGATCATATTGAAAAAGAGCTCACTGGCCTCAAGTAAAAGCTATAAAAATTTAAAGTACATTTCACCTTTCTCAGCTTCAGCACTGGGCCAGTAAGCTACTATCTTCCTCACTTCTTTTAAGAAAAATAAGTAAATCACAAGCACCCTTGAAAACAATGAGGCTATGTGCTCAGTCATCAGGAAACAGCAATTTTCAAGAGGATTCTTCTAGATAAATGCACTACTACTGTCAGACTGCTGTAGTAAAATTATAGTCTTGAAATATTTTTGAACTGTTCAGTAATCAAAAAGATGAAATGTCCTAAATTGCCTCATGGCATCAGATCCAATCTGATCTTAAAAGTGAAGCAATATCAGCCCTGGTAATACATTGATGGGAGGCCACCAACGCATATATGCACAATATATGTTTTAGAGGCAATGACAAACCACCTTTGAGTGCCTCAGGAATCCCTTATTAATTTATGAGGCCTCCATAAGTCAACAGACAGGCACAAGTACATAGACACACTATCAAAAAGGAGTGCCATTAAACAATAATAATAGAGAGATAGAAATGGCGGTGATCTTGAAGTTCTTTATGAGTGTCAGCCTCCCCATCCAATTCAAATAAATCAATTCCAAATATAAAGACATTGATTACTTATGAGACAAGATCAGCTAATAACAAGATTTTTGGAATAGTCCTATGCTGCACAGCACTAATCATATCTCTTTGATCAATATTTATGGATATGATGTTTAGCTTGGAACTAAGAGCAAAGTATAAGTTTTTCTGTAATCCAAAGTAAATGTAAGGTGGGCAAAATGTGGCCTGCAGGCTACATGCAGTTCCTGGATCACATTTGAAGCCCTCTGACTACCCCTCAAAGTCCTTGTCCAATTTGAAATATTTTTGGTATAGTTTTGCGGTGTTTCTCTCCCACTAACGGTGTGGAGAATCTCCCAAACATGTAAAATACGAGGGGTATTTTTTAAGTAAGGTCCGTTTTGTTGTAGACACTAGAAGTTCGCGCGCATACCGCAACGAGCGCGTGCGTCGTGTACCTGCATGGCTCAGGAACAACTGTGCTCAGTTTCCGCTCTGTAGCTAACCTGTACGGTTCTGTTCTGTGCTTTAAAATGTTTAAGACTATCAACTCACCCGCCGCATGTGAGGTTCGCTCAGTGATACGGTTTTTGTCAGCAAGGAACCTGCCTGCTGCAGAAATTCATCGACAGATTTGTGAAGTGTACGGTGATACTGTTATGAGTGAAAGCAAAGTGCGTAAGTGGGTACGACAATTCAAAGATGGCCGTGACAACGTCCATGATGAGGACCGCTCCGGTCGCCCTTCTTTGATTACAGACGATTTGGTGGCTTCAGTTGAAGCGAGGATTTATGAAGAGGGTATTTTAAAATTGGTTCAGAGGTATGATAAGTGTTTGAACAAACTTGGCAACTATGTCGAAAAATAGAGTGAAGTATGTACTTTCTGAAAATAAATTTACTTTTTTGAAATAAACTTTCGTTGTGTACTTATGTTCCAACTGACCTTACTTAAAAAATACCCCTCGTATATCCAGTCCCACAGAGAAAGCCCTCTTTAACCTCCTCCCCAATAACTATTTTTAAAATCCTTCTCAAAATGATGACAGGAAGTGATGCAACATTCTATTCGCATGTTAGAAAAGAATCTAACAAAGATAGATATATTTAGGAGCAATGTTATAGAGGTGTAGCCAGCAGAAGAGCTGAAAAACAATTAGCCCCTGGTGCTATGATTCCTTAGAAGTCAAGCCACAGTGTCAACATGGGACATACAATGGTGGGGTATAAGCTGTATCATAAAACACAGTTTTTAAAGGCAGATCATTTATCTGAATATTTGGCTAAGGTAAAAAAGGAATGGAGGAAGCCAGAGATGATTGTTTATACTAAGCTAGAAGAGACTGAGTAAATTGGACCTTTTATGATAGGTAGGAATAAGAACAAAAAACTGCGATGCCCTATTTATGAACAAATGTATGGTTCAGATGCTTTTTCCTCGCTGAACAGCAGTTTGCATGCAGGATCTTTTATAAATCTGGTAATTATCATCAGATACTCAGTTCTGACACTGATGTCTGTGGAGGTTGTTCCTGCTATTTGTTTAACAAATAAAGTAGTATCTGCAATGCTGTGTAAATGCAGTGCTAACTTCTTTCTTGGAACAGAATGATCAGACTGCCCAGATCCTGATGACTGGTCAGTGCACAGCTGTCCCCCCAAATCAAGACTGATTACAGGGGTGAAATGGAAAGGTTCATCATGGGAGGCACAAACAATGAAATGCACCAAACCAATTGGTTATATTCCTGAATTATCATTTGATTTGTTCAGAACCTGAAGGTGAGCATGTGTTTCTAACATTTTGTGTGCTTTTATCCAGATGTACAGATGCACATTATGACTTCACTGACAGGCCAGGTTTAAATGCTGATATTATAAAATATTATTATTCTCAGTCCCTCAGCATCATGTCAAAAATTAGCATTGTTCCCTGATGTAAAACCTTGTTTTTCTATTACAGATTTATTTCTACTACAAACACTTGCTAATCTATTGTCAGTGTCTATTCCCGAAAGACAGGACTGTTATCCTCGGGAATGGCAAAGAGATAGAAAATATTTTTGCACAGTCACAGAGGTCTGTTTTGGAAAAAGCCCCATAAGTTTTGCACGATTAACATATAACACCTCATATTTTACATGGGAGATTCTCCACACCGTTAGGTGTAATGTAACAATTCACCTACCTGTGGAAATGAAAGCAGATGATCCCATGCAAGATGCTGATCAATGTTATCTCTACTCCCTTCTGTTTCTGTGGCCAGAAACCTCTTTTTTTTAAACTTCAAAACAAAATTCTTTACACATAATAAAATAGGGTAGAGAAGGGGCATGGAGAGAGGAAGGGAACGACAGTGTTTATTCCAGTGTTTACCTGTTTGGCAGGGCAGTTCAGGGCAGACAATCTGAGGATCTGAAATTTAAACCAAAACATTATATACTGAAACGATACAGATTTTTGTGCAGTGAAAGAAAACTACATCTGGTGGATAATGGCAGCCAGGCCTTTAAAAAAACCATTGCAAATTTCAGTGTGGTACTTCACACTTTGCTATGGTGGAAATGAGTGTGACTGCTTACTGAAACACTACGGCAGGGCAGAAATAGTTTTAAGGAGAACACAGCATTTAACACCATCTGATATGCATACTTATGGTCAAAAAACATATTTTTCAGCAGTCGAAAATAGTTGTAATAGTGATATTATGCCAGTCGTACAATAATAATATTATGCCACTTTGAAGGCAGTGTCTACAGACCTGGGCAGAGCTCATGCTCCATGCTGTCAATGAACTCTTCGGCCACCAGCTCCGTGAATAACTTCATTTTCTGGACCCTCTGATTGTCATTGCAGGCAATTGATCGAAGAGTCTCATCTTCCTCTTTCGCATTGAACATGTCTCCGATCCCAATGGCAGTGACAGTGACATTTCTACCACAGAGTGCCTGCAAGTGGGAGTCATTGTCTCGTGGATCATGGCGTCCATCCGTTACCACCACAGCAAACACTCGTGCTTTCTCCCGCTGGCTTTCCTTGATCAGTGTATTGTAGGCAAACTGAAGGGCAGAGAGGGTCCAGGTGCCTCCTGCAATCCATTCTAACTTCTTCACAGCTTCTTTGAAGCTGGAGAGGGAGTCAATTCGCTTGTCATTCAGCTGGATGGCTTCAAAAGTTCCCTCGTGGCTGTACTGCACCACTCCGACACGGGCACCTGCCAGGAAAATCAATGATCAAGCACACTCCTCAGATGGAGATTATTTACTTTTTTTCATAAATGGGTGCATTTTGTGTGTCTGAGGGGTGACATTGCCCCTGAGATTAATATAGTTGGTCAAATGAAACTAAGGAGGAGAGCAACACCCAAATACCTTCCTTCCTTTCTGATGTTATCTGGCTCTCCCACTCTCAGATGCCTATTCTAAGTTCATCTGTGCATGGATTTCAGTGCCTCTCTTTGCATGGAGCAAGTCCCTTCAGGCATTACCCCACTACATGACAGGGTGGAGAATTCTTAAAGCCATTTTAAAGATAACTGGAAAGTGTCATTATGGAGGAGCAAGGTGACACAAAAGAAGGCCAAGGAATTGGGACGGAACATCACTGTTAATGTCATCAGTCCCACTGTTTTGGTTATCGATGCTATCAGGGATTTCTCTCATTTGTGCCAATAACCGAGGAAAGTATGAAAGCATCAGAAAGACAGTTTCTTAACTTCTCCTCAATCTACTTTGAATGGCAGAAGACCAGCTCTGAGGAGAAATAAGGCAGATATGGTGGCTAATAGAAATGATACTCTAAGCTTATCGTTTTGAATTATTGGACTTGTAAGGATAGAAGAACTGGTCAATTTTGGTTATAGTCTGTAATTTTTCCAGTCCTCATTTTATTCCTGCCTATTTATACATCATTTTGCAATTTTAAAATAAAACCAGTACAGTTTTTTCACATTTTGTTCATATTCTCCACATGCTTGCAATTTTGTATATAATATTGCCAAACAGAATTTTTCAAATATGTAAATGCATGTAAGCATATATATTTGTGCGTATTTATAACTTTATATCTCTGTCTATCTATCTCAACAAATATATTATTATCCCACCAATACTACATCTATTTCCTAAGTATTTATCAAGAAAATATTTATCTTTGTGCACATATTTGTCCAAAAAATTGTCCTGAAGAATTACCGTAAATTCCAGGGTACTAGACAACTTTTTAACCCTCGAAAATCATTGCTGAACTTGGGGGTTGTCTAGTATGCCAGATAGAAAAAATCACTTCCTGTTTTGGGTCAAGGCGAGGGAGGCGAGCAGCTGCCCTGCGTTGGAGCAGGGCGCCTGAAGCAGCAGCAGCTGCTGCTGGGCTCCTCCAACACTGCTTGTCTCCCACTGCCAGGCTTCAGCTTAACTGAGGGGCTCCCTTTGTTTTAATAATAATCTTCTCCCCTCGATTCAAGTTTAATCTGATAGTTCTGGAGCGCGTTTACAGGAGCCGAGCAACACGCACATGTACACACATACATATGAAAAAGCACACACATATACGAAAGCCATTAACCAACCAACCAGCCCGAGCGGCCCGCTCTCCTCCCCCGCGCTCGCTGCCTCTGCTGGATTGATGGCTATCTCCCTCTGCTTGCTTCTCTCCAAAGTCTCTATCTCTCCTGAGGAGAGAGAACCTGTGTGTGCGCGCGTGTGTGTGTTCCTGTGCTTCTTAACCAGCCCAAGCTCGCTCTCTTCCCCCTCGCTCGCTGCCTCTGCTGGATTGATGGCTATTAGGGCTGGGTAACAACGGAAAAATTTGTTTCTAAACTCGTTTCGTTTTTAGGGGGTCCATTGCGTTTCGTTTTTTAAAAGAATTCCGAATTTTTCTTTAAAAAATTTCGTTATTTACGAAATTTCGTAAATTTTGAATTGATTCGTTAATGGCGGACGCGATTGCGCAATACGCTAAAAAAACCTCCAAATGGGACAGGGGGAACTTCTGAAGCTTCCCTCTCCCTCTGTTGTTGACTGTTGGTGTGATAATTTATTTTTTTATCACTGATAAAACAAACAACAACTATAAAACTTGCACCAGACATACGGAAATAATAACGAAACAATTTCGAACGATTTCGAACCAATTACGAAACAATTACGAAATAAATTGAAAAATTCGTTTCGATTTTTAGTTGCTCCTGCATGGCTCAATATCGGATCGTAAGCTAATTTAAATACGAATCAATAACGAATTACGAAATTAACGAACGAAACCACCCAGCCCTAATGGCTATCCCCCCTGCCTGTCCTTCTCCCAACGCCAGGCGCGATGCTGACGTTGCTCTCTCACTCTCTATCCCTCCTGAGGAGAGGGAACCCTGCTTCTCTCCAAAGAGTGACTTTGCAGAGAAGCAGGCAGCGGGGATAGCTATCAATCCAGCAGAGGCACTGAGTGCAAGGGAAGGGAGCGAGTCGCTCGGGCTGGTTAAGAAGCACAGGACACACACACACACACACACACAGGTTCTCTCTCCTCAGTAGAGATAGAGAGTGACTTTGCAGAGAAGCAGGCGGGGGGGGGGGGGGATAGCCATCAATCCAGCAGAGACAGCGAGTGCAAGGGAAGAGAGGAAAAAACACAGGACACACATACCTGCACTCTAACTCTCATTTCTCTCTGAAGCCCTGCGCCTGCCAGGCTTAACATCACTCAACACCCCCAGCATAATTTATGTGCACTCTATCTCTAATTTCTCTCTGAAGCCCTGCCCCTGCCAGGCTCAACATCACTCAACACCCACAGCATAATTTATGCCAGTATCCTGTCCCTTCTCCAAAAAAAAGGGAGGGGGAAAAAGGAGGAGGGAGTTCTAGCGTTCTTTATCCACTCCCCCACTCCTCCATAAGTTTGCCCAGGCTTTGAGGCTTTATGGATTCCATAAAGCAGCAAAGAGAATAGAGAAAATTCTCTGCTGACACCTAAAGGCGCATAGCTGCAACTGCAACTCAGGAAAACTTTATTATTTTTTTGATCCAAAGCAGGAAGTGATGAGTGTAAAGAACCCTTACTGTTCAGCAGCCAGGATGCAGGGCCTAGAGAAGCCTGGAAGCTTAAAACAGATGGGATGTGGGCATGGCGAAGCCTCAGCGGCTATTTTAGTGTAGTTCAGAGCAGGGAATGGCCGGGATTGGTGGAGGAAAAGGGGGCGGAGTTTAGGAGAAGCTGAGAGGGAAAAAGGAGCGTTTTAAGTTATAGAGAGGAGTTGGAGTTTGGGGTTTGAAGAGAAAGGGTGTTTAGGAGTGGAGTGGTGTTAAGGGTTAGAAGAAAAGGCAAAGGTTTAGCCAGAAGTTTGCCAGCAGGGTAGCTAAAGCAAACTGACAGCTATTAGGAGAATAGCTGGGTAGTAGCAGGATAGAATCAGGCTAGATTTATCTGGGCTACTGAAGAATCTCTGGCAGAGACACAGTCCTGTTGGGATTCTTGTTTTGTTTTGGAGGGAGATAAGAAACTCTTTAGTAACAAAGATAGAACCATTCTTGTAACCATCACGCTTTTAAGACACAACTTTCTGTAACAGCCAAGATATTGATGCATTTGTACCCATTCTAAATAATAAACTTTGTTGATTATTGTTCATCAAAACCTGACTCAAGTGTGCCTCAAAGTTTGAAGATTACAAAAGCAACTTTTGAAGAAACTAATGGTGACAGCATACTTTCAAAGTAAATAAGCCTTTTAAAATTTGGTTAACCCTTGACAATTGGTGGTCGCTCTATATATTGGTGGCAGCATTGATTAGTGATCTGAATAGATCTTTATAATTTGGTCTCCAGAGATTGAGATCGATTTTCTAGATTCTTTATAATTGGTGGCAGCGAGTGAGATCTGATTTATCTGATCATTATAATGGGCACGTGGCTGGCTGGCTGTGGCGGAGCCTGGCTGCCGGCGGAGGGGAGGCTCTATAGCATTGAGAAGCTGCCTCAAAGCCCAGGAAAGGAGGCTTTGGGGCCTGAAGGGGCTGGCAAAGAGGGGTCGTCTAGTAGAGCGAGTATATCCAAAAATTGAAAATTTTAATTGAAAAGCCTTCGACAATACATTTAATTGAAAAGTTGGGGGGTCGTCTAATGCGCCCAGTCGCCTATTACCCCGAAATATACGGTACTATAATTCAGATCCTGAAGGATGATGGTGTTTTACCTTGTATAATGATTCAGAAACTGTGTATTTGAAAAAATATAAACACAATGAAATCCTCCTACATACACAAGAACACTTGAGGGAACAGTGTGGAAATACAAGTTTTCTTTTTTGCTTTTTTTTTTCATTTTGAATGACACACATGTTTCCAGAGCTATCTGTAGATGCATAATGAATGATTCGATCCAGAAGATTAATGAACCAATATTAAATAGCTATGGGAAACAGATGGACTGGGAGAAGATCCCAAATCCTAAATGTACATATACTCAGCATGGAAAGACAAATAGCATAAACATCTAGTAACTTTTCTTTACTAGAAATGAAAACAGAGTGTTAAAGTCTCCTGTCTTTTTCTCTGGCTTATGGTAAAATAAGGAGTATTTGGAAAATGCTAGATTATTGTATCATATAAGTATCAAACAATCATAACATTCAGTTGTGAAAACAGGTTCTCTGTTATGCCACTGACCTGTCTCAGATTTTGGATCCTTGGCGATGGAGCCAAGTCTGCTCACTACATTGATGACAAAGTTCTTCTCCAGGGAGAAATTGTTGTAACCAATACTCTCTGAGCTGTCAATGATGAAGACGATGTCCAAGGGGCCACACCGTTTCTCACAGTCTGAGGAAACCAATCAGAAGCACAACACTGGTCCACCAAGGAAAGGCCCAAGCTGTTGGGCCCTGAAGCTGACTATAACTACTAACATTAAGAAGGGCTTTACAATTACAGAAGGCCTGAGCTTGAGCATGCTTGGAACCCTACATGTGGAACCTAAAGCAGGATGTGAACATTTGAACGCATTTGTAAATCATGCTACATTATAGTCTATCATTATATGAATGAGCAAGGACTGAACCTGTATAATGGTATTCTGGTGTGTCTGAATACCACATTTTTGGTGTGATCAGTTAATACAATTTAAGTTAGTCTTGCTAAACATCTCTCTCTCACTCAGCATATTAGAACATTTCTTTCTTTAGGCAAGGCCTCCTCTAGACTGCCATGCAATGCATTTTAAAACTGCATTATATGGTCAGTGTAGATTCATATAATGCGGTTTAATGGCACTGAACTACATTATATGAGTCTATGCTGGCCTATCTCAGACTGGATCTATAATCCAGTTTCTATAATCTACAATGCTCTATAATCCAGTTTCAGAATGTGAATTAACTGCATTGGACATATCAGTCTACACTGCCCTATAATACAGATCAATGCCCTTTTATAGCACATTCTGAAACTGGATAATAGGGTAGTGTAGATCGAGCCTTTGGGGCCATACAAACTATTTTTCATCTAATAAATTTAAGGCCTGACCGAAGCAAGGCTGACTACAAATCTACTAATGAATACCATTTGCATAATAATTAGTTTTGCCTGTCAGCTCTGAGCATAAATTTGCACTCTGAGGAGGAATTCTACTCTAAGGGAGTTTATTCAAATTCATTGCTACTACAAGCCACCCAAAAGAAGACTATCAACTAACCACAACAGCCACAGGTCTCTCTGACATAGGTCATCACATCACAGTCCTATAAACAACAATAACAAAAGGAAAAAAGAGTTGTTATGAGAACAAGATTTTAGTGAGTTAGAATCATAGAATCATAGAATCAAAGAGTTGGAAGAGACCTCATGGGCCATTCAGTCCAACCCCCTGCCAAGAAGCAGGAATATTGCATTCAAATCACCCCTGACAGATGGCCATCCAGCCTCGGTTTAAGTCTCCAAAGAAAGAGCCTCCACCACACTCCAGGGCAGAGAGTTCCACTGCTGAACGGCTCTCACAGTCAGGAAGTTCTTCCTCATGTTCAGATGGAATCTCCTTTCTTGTAGTTTGAAGCCATTGCTTCACGTCCTAGTCTCCAGGGAAGCAGAAAACAAGCTTGCTCCCTCCTCCCTTTGGATTCCTCTCACATATTTATACATAGCTATCATATCGCCTCTCAAGGGATAGGAACTCTGCTTCCCAGAATCCTAATCCAGTACTAAAAGTTATATACCACACTGAGTCCCCAGTTGCACAAGTTTGAGGGATATGGCTACATTTTTTGGGAAACTACCCAGAACATGGATAGAGATTATAATAATTTCCATTTCCATCCTCTCAGTAGGAAAACAATTTTTATTTTGGCTGAATAAGAGAACTCACATAGAATCACAGAATCATAGAGTTAGAAGAGACCATAAGGGCCCTCCAGTCTAGCCCCCTCCCATGCAGAAAACACAATCAAAGCCTACACTTTTCTTATCTATTGCTTGCAAGAGGATACGGCCAGAGTCTGCTTTTGATTATACATTTCCCATGGATATTACCAAGAATCTGCATAGGAGAAGCAATGTTTTGCAGGYCTTGTTACMYCCCCCCCCCCCTCCCACAAACTAGTATTGAAATAAGTAGACAACAAACTCATTGATACATCTATAATAACGGAAAATGTCTTCTACTTACAGTAAGCCCAGGGTCTCCAGCAGGGCCAGGTCCACCCTACAAAATGATGAAAAAGCATTATGGATGTCCTCTGCACAAGGAGCAACAATTCTGCTAGCTTCCTTCATATATTGACACAGAAAAATAATGGAATAGATTCCCAACAATTCTTAACATTCTCTGGTTTTGGCAACATGATTACTTCTAAACATTGACTATGTGCATACACCCCCATTAAAACTGTGTTTTTATTTTCTTTCACATAGTAATGATGATGATGATGTTATTTCTTACCCGCCTCTTCCCATGGCTTGAGGCAGGTCACAGCTGAGTTAAAAACACACCAATACTATAAAAATTCTACAAACACACATTAAAATTCAGTTTCATAAAAGATACAGATCAAAGCATTTATGTAAAAGGCACAATCACACAGGACAGAGACCAAAACATGTGACGTGAGTTTAAAATTCATGCTTGAAGACTGGCTGGGTAGGTCTGCTGGAAGAGATAGGACTTTACATGGTTCTTAAATTCCGACAGCTGATCTAGCTGTTGGAGCTCTATCATAGAATCATAGAATCAAAGAGTTGGAAGAGACCTCATGGGCCATCCAGTCCAACCCCCTGCCAAGAAGCAGAAATATTGCATTCAAATCACCCCTGACAGATGGCCATCCAGCCTCTGTTTAAAAGCCTCCAAAGAAGGAGCCTCCACCACACTCCGGGGCAGAGAGTTCCACTGCTGAACGGCTCTCACAGTCAGGAAGTTCTTCCTCGTGGTCAGATGGAATCTCCTCTCTTGTAGTTTGAAGCCATTGTTCCGCGTCCTAGTCTCCAAGGAAGCAGAAAACAAGCTTGCTCCCTCCTCCCTGTGGCTTCCTCTCACATATTTATACATGGCTATCATATCCCCTCTCAGCCTTCTCTTCTTCAGGCTAAACATGCCCAGCTCCTTAAGCCGCTCCTCATAGGGCTTGTTCTCCAGACCCTTGATCATTTTACTCATCCTCCTCTGGACACATTCCAGCTTGTCAATATCTCTCTTGAATTGTGGTGCCCAGAATTGGACACAATATTCCAGGTGTGGTCTAACCAAAGCGAAATAGAGGGGTAGCATTACTTCCCTAGATCTAGACACTCGGCAGGTTGTTTCACAGTCTTTAGGTGATGCTCTGTTCCATTCGGCAAATGTGTGCGATATTTTTCAGGAGGTGTGACATTAGGCTCTGTAAGCTGCCCCAAGTCTCTTTTGGGAGATGAGGGGCGGGATATAGATAAAGTTGTTATGGTTATGAATATTACTAGGCTTGTCAGCTGGGAAAGGACAATGTAGTTGTCTTCTACAATTCTCTTCAGTTTTTCAAATCTGTGTTAAAGCACAGTAAATATCGTTTTTAAGTATTTGAGGAAATAAAGAGTATAGCATTCTGCCTTTCTGGCAATAGACGAGTATCTGGCTGCCTCTCTTCCTAGGGTCTCTTCACACTATCCAATTATCAGGCCCTTCTACACCGATTGAAAATGTGGGTCCGATCTGGCATCCCAGATGCCGGATCAGTCTCACATGCAGTGTGATAGGTATCCACTAAACCGCTCTGAATGGCAGAGAGTCCCCACTGCATAACCATGCTAAACACAGTTTGGCACTGTTGGGCAGGGAGCGTAATGGACCCCCTTTCCCCCATGTTGCAACTGTTCTCAGTTAAAGATGCAGGGGGGAAGGGGATCCCCAGTCTCCCTCCTGTCAGTCTCCTTAGTTCATTTCACCACCTTAATACTTTATGTGTCTTTTTATTTCTTGATATTAGTCACAGTTGGATCTCAGGTTCAAGATCAGAGCTCAGTTTTTAACCTTTGAGAGGGAGACCCTGTCTCTCTTTCCTCTTACATCCAGGACACTGTCTTTCTTGATGCTCAGGGTCTATGGGATACTGCCCACAATGTCTTCATGATGTTTCCTAATCAGTGCAGAAACAATGGCATCAAAAGTTTAAGCCTTATCCACCTCTGTGGTTTGGTTTTCTGACAGTTGTGTCCTAAAATGCTATCTTTTACCCAGCAACAGAGAGATAATAGATTTCAGGATTTGCCTGATTGAGAATCTAGGTGGCTGTTGTTCATGGTTGCAATTATACACCTCAAGAGAGATGAATCGATGAATCAGCCTCAGAATACCAAGGGAAGGGGGTTGATAACACTCTACCAAACAAAGAGCTACAATAATACCTCACTGCCAGGTTCACCAGAACGTCCTCTGGGGCCAGGCTCACCTGGTGGGCCAGGGTCAGCCTAGAAAGAGAAAGAAACACATCAATGCATTCATTCTCTTTTGCTTGTGTATGTGGCAAAAAAGAAGAAAAAAGATATTGACTTGGGGACTAGGCAAATGTTTAGTTGCATGCCCAACAAAGTAGGTGTACAATGCTTCAAATATCTATCACTTATAATTCTTACCTCATGTGTCCTCATTAACAATAATGGGAAAGAGGCTGTCTTGGTAAAACAGCCTCATCACTCCACAACCGTGCACAAAATGTAAGTTTTACAGATGGATACTTCACACGGATGTTCATATGTATGGCTGGCTTGGTTGATCTGTCCTATCATTTCTGAGGGGGCAGAATCCATGAATCTGGACCCCATATGAAGTGGACTTCTTTGTGAAGCATCTGCCTACTTCTGGTGCCTTATCCCAGTGTTAATGTTTCACTACGGTGGCATAGGATTCCTTTTGGTGCTCTGGGGGTGCATGAAGCCATCTCCATCACCAAAGAAGGCTGCCTTGCCAACTCCCAGAAGCTGATAAGGCAGCTTTTCTTTCTTTCTTTCATTCATTCATTCATTCATTCATTCATTCATTCATTTTTGCTGAAAGAAGTAGATTTCACATGGCACTCATAGTCATTTTACTCCAGTCTCTGCTCTTCTGCTCACAAGCTGTGATGACAGTGGAATGAGTGGGAGGTAGGAATCCCAGTGACAACAATCACTCTTGTAGTAAACAGTGAAGCAGAAAATACTTACAGGTTCACCAACTTCTCCTTTTGTTCCTGGAGGGCCTTTGGGTCCATAGTCACCTCTTGCACCCTGTTCCAAAAATGGCATAAGGGGTGAGATTTCCCACCATCATTTTGCTCTTGATATTCATTTTTAGAAGTTCTCCAGGCCACCAATTTTTAAAAAAATATTACTAAATTATTTAATGAAATTATTTAAATTAATCAAAATTAATTAAAATTATTGTCGACATCTTTATATCCTTTTGTATAACATAGACACTCAGGGTGGCATTTAGATAAAGTCTGCCTAAAATTTAAGAGAACTGAAATTTAAAAGAAGGATTCAAATACTAAATAATCATATATATAGAAATAGTTAACACATGTGTTAGCAGAAATATCAAGTGTATGTTCATACTATACCTCTGGTCCTGGAAGCCCCTTCTCACCTTTCTCACCCTGAAAAAAAAAAGAACAAGATATAGAGAAAAGATTTATAGCATGAATGGAGAAATCAAAGGTTCTGGCTTTCTTGGACTGTCTTTGTTCCTGTCATTTTTTTGTTCTTTTTTTTTTTAGGGGGTGCTGGTGACAGAATGTGTGAATTTTCTCAAGAAATCAATGAAAGAATTAATTCTTCAGAAATATTGTGAATAAAATGGAGATTTGTAGAAAAAATGTGGCAGCCAAAGAAGAAACGGAGGAAAAAAAACTCATTGGAAAGGTGAAGACCAGCATTTTAAATCAAACCACAATCTTGCTTCAGGAGTGAAGAGGACACAACACTATCAAGTACCAATGGGGGACTAATGTTTTACAGAAGAGGAAAAGTTATTTCATGATTTGAAAATATAAGGGTATAATTTGTCTTCATTATACATATTTTACACAAGGATGGTGAAAGAAGAAAGCACAAAAGCTGAGTCGCAGTTAAACATAAAAAAAAAACAAGATTATGGCAACAAGAATGATTGACAACTGAAAAATAGAGGGAGAAAATGTGGAGGCCATGACAGACTTTGTATTTCTAGGCGCAAAGATTACCGCAGATGCAGACTGTGGCCAGGAAATCAGAAGACGCTTACTTCTTGGGAGGAGAGCAATGACCAATCTCGATAAAATAGTAAAGAGTAGAGACATCACACTAACAAAGATCCGCATAGTCAAAGCCATGGTATTCCCTGTAGTAACCTATCGATGTGAGAGCTGGACCTTAGGGAAGGCTGAGCGAAGGAAGATAGATGCTTTTGAACTGTGGTGTTGGAGGAAAGTTCTGAGAGTGCCTTGGACTGCGAGAAGATCCAACCAGTCCATCCTCCAGGAAATAAAGCCCGACTGCTCACTGGAGGGAAGATACTAGAGACAAAGTTGAAGTACTTTGGCCACATCATGAGGAGACAGGAAAGCCTAGAGAAGACAATTATGCTGGGGAAAGTGGAAGGCAAAAGGAAGAGGGGCCGACCAAGGGCAAGATGGATAGATGGCATCCTTGAAGTGACTGGACTGACCTTGAAGGAGCTGGGGGTGGTGACGGCCAACAGAGAGCTCTGGCAAGAGTCGGAGATGACTGAACGAATGAACAACATAACACAAGGATGTTGAATATTTGAAATGTAAAAAATTGGGACAATAATTTTTTCTCTGCTGAGCAGAGGAATATAAATGCAGTGGTTTTGTATATAATTGATGTTGTTGTTGTTCATTCGTTTCCGACTCTTTGTGACCTCATGAACCAGCCCACGCCAGAGCTCCCTGTCGGCCGTCACTACCCCCAGCTGCTTCAAGGTCAATCCAATCACTTCAAGGATGCCATCCATCTATCTTGCCCTCTTCCTTTTTCCTTCCATTTTCCCCAGCATCATTGTCTTCTCTAAGCTTTCCTTTCTTCTCATGATGTGACCAAAGTACTTCATCTTGGCCTCTACTATTCTTCCCTCCACTGAGCAGTCGGTCTTTATTTCCTGATATATAATTGATACTGGATATGTAATGGTCCAGATCGATTGCCAATGATATTCTGGACAAGATAGCCACACTGAGGCTCCTTCTACATGGCCATATACATTCCAGATTATCTGCTTTGAATTGGATGATACAGCAGTATAAACTCATATAATCCAGTTCAAATCAGATAATCTGTATTATCTGCTTTGATAATCTGGATTATGTGGCAGTGTAGAAGGGGTCTGAGTTTCCTTCCCAGATTAGGAAGCATGGGAGTTTTTCTTCTTCCCCTTTCTGTGTCTTACATTGGAGGACTTCACATGGCCTCGTCCTCAAGGTTGGATATCTTGTTTTGTTTGAGATAACATTTTTTCCTGGTGAGGAATTTAAATTGATTAAGCATGCCACACATTACCGGGAGTCCTCTAGGGCCAGGATAGTTGAAACCAGGTCGTCCTCTGTCTCCCTACAATTAAAAAGAAAATGACTTTATAAATAAAGCTTAAGCATTTGGGAACTTTACTTTGTAACATTCTATGTTGCAATGTGTTTCAACATTATAAGGTTCCTTTCTGGGATAATAACAACCCTCAAAGCTGGATGTAACCAAAGAAACTGCAGAACATCACACACCTAACGAAGTCAGAGCACTAGAGGATAATGGAAATGACTGTCAATATTACATTCATTCTGTCCTGTGACAAACACTAAGGCCCCTTCTACACTGCCATATAAAATCCAGTTTATCTACTTTGAACTGGATTATATGGCAGTGTAGACTCATATAGTCCAGTTCAAAGCATATAATGCAGATTATCTGTTTTGATAATTTGGATTTTGTGGCAGTGTAGAAGGAGCCTTAGTCTCTGAAGTTGGTTGTGCTTTAAAATTAAGATTTCTTGCATTTTCAGTAATCTCAACATAAAACTGTTCTGTGCTGGTTTGCCAGGTGAGAGAAACTTTGACCTGTATTCACATATTTCATGATTACATTCTATCATTAATTATCAACACATCTCACCACGCTAAAACAGTGGCTGTGGCTCTTAATGAGACATGCTGCATTATCACGGGGTGTCTGCGCCCTACCCCACTGGAGAAATTACACTGTCTAGCCGGTATTGCACCACCTGACATCCACCGGGAAGTAGCAGCCAATAGTGAAAGGACCAAGGCAGAGACATCTCCAGCTCATCCCTTGTTTGGGTATCAGCCAGTACAACAATGACTTAAATCAAGAAATAGTTTTCTAAGATCTACAGAGACACTCGCTGGAACACCCCAGCAAGCGAGAGTCCAAAAGTGGCAGGCTCAAACCCAGAACCTCAATCAATGGCTGATACCAAATGAGAGACTCCCCCTGGGCACACAGAAGACTGGGTGACTTGGAAGGCGCTGAACAGACTGCACTCTGGCACCACGAGATGCAGAGCCAACCTCAAGAAATGGGGAATCCACGACATGCGAGTGTGGAGAAGAGCAAACCACTGACCACCTGCTGCAATGCAACCTGAGCCCTGCTACATGCACAATGGAGGACCTCCTTGCGGCAACACCAGAGGCACTCCAGATACTGGTCAAAGGACATTTAATCAACTACCAAGCTTGCAAACTTTGTGTTTTGCCTGTCTGTTTGTTTGTTTTGTTAAAAATGTAATACAACTGTCTGGTTGCTCCTGACACGATAAATAAATAAATAAGTTATCAACAAGGCTAAATACTTGAATTATCAACATATACAGCAATCCCTATACGAACTTATGTGGGCAGGTACATACATGTGAATGTACTTGCCCACAGACCACAACTATATCTATAAAGTGTTAACATGATTTTACTTCTTTCCAGATGGGATTTCTTTTTTACCTTTGGTCCTGGAAGGCCTGTGTCACCCCTTACACCTGCATCCCCCGGATCTCCTTGTGAGCCCTAAAATAGTGTTTCAGAAAGAAAAAAGGTGAACAAACAAATCTCTTTGACGGAAACAAGGCATCCAGCTGCAGCAGAACCAGGCAGGTGGCAGGGGGGGGGGGGGTTCCTGCTACTACTGCAAAGCATTTCCTAAAATCAATCTGGGTCAGGTACACTGATCTTGTTGAGCATTAGGAGCAAAACTATGCATTTATACAAATCGCAATGATTTCACATGGTATTCTTCCCGCAGAGCCCCACTATAAGGAAGAAATGAAGTTTAGTTGGCACCCAGGGAGCACTTAAAACACCAGGGAACAATTAAAACCACTGCATAATGGCAAAAGGCCATGGAAACATTTGTTACATATAGTTGATGGATCAATAGTGGCCGCAAGACCAACCACCT